GGTGGAGCATTGGTGAAGGGAAGGGAGGAGGAGGAAGTAGGGAATGGAGGTGGGTGAATAAGGCGGGACGTGGGCAGAGGGAGTGAAGGAGAGAGAGAGAGACACACACAAATTTATTCTGTGTGCAGGGGGTGGAGAGAGAGAAACAGAGAGAGAGAGAGAGAGAGAGAGAGAGAGAGGTTGCGCATGTTTGGTGAGCGATGGTCGGTCAGTTATAACATGGAGGGCATGAGTGCTAAAAATTTACGTTTCAATTAAAATTTACCAGTAGAATAATTACGTACATGGTCGGATTTACGTCTGCCAAGCAATCCAGGGGGCGCTGATGTGACCCATCATTTATTTTCACTTCCATATATGGTTAGAAAACAAGTTCAGTCGATCATAATAAAATATTTGCTGATCACAATGACGTGTCTGTCGTGGCAATGTTAATTCTGAACATTCGCAAGGAAACATATGCAGGACACAGACACACACTAAGCGTTATATGATACTATATAGACATGATACTATAGAAAGATGATAAACTAGCAACAAGAGCCTCTTATGCAGTATCCTATATATGCACAGGGTGCGAAATTAACGGGAGTCCTGAGTCAAATACTCCCTCATTTACTGCTGGACTCCCTGATTTTTACATATGCAAGAGTCTGTATGACTCCCTGAAAATTCTGCTATACTAACTAGTTCGTTCCTGAGCACGGCCATGCGGAATTACCGTATTTTTTTAGCAAATGTCCAAAGAAAATTTGGCAGACGTGCAACCGCATGAATCTTCAAAATAAGCACATGCGTTATTGTTAATATCTTTAATTTTGAACTTCTGACTGCGGACTCCTTCATTTTGCTGCGGACTCCCTCATTTTGCCGCGGACTCCCTCTTTTTGAGGGCACGGACTCCCTTGTTCAAAAGTCATTTTCTACCCCTGTATGCGCATAACTATATACTCTAACCCGGATGGGAATTTCTGATCTAGCAGCGCCACCTTTTGGTGGATGTCCGCTAACTTTACTACATCTGCAGCTGTATATCGAGCAGCCTGAATAAAAGCAAATTGGTATATTATTAATATTAGAGATCACACGTACAGCCACGAGTCACTTTGTTAGTGATAAGGTGCGTAGTCATGTCAAATCTCCCTGTAGCATATTGGGAGACGTGTGTTCGCTCATTCCAAGTATCCAGCATATATAATATTTTGTCAAAATAATGCTTTCAATATATTGTGAGTAACATGGTAAACCCCATGCAAAAAACGCACGTCCTGTACACAGTACAGACTGGAAATTTGATACCGCGTCAAACTATCGCAACAAATCAAGCTGTCAACAAATTTCGCGATACGCATGCACAGCATTACGTGGGTCACATAAAAGTACAGTATAGCTGTCTGCTGAGTGACGTTAGTACGCTTGAGAATTGTTTGTCTGTACGCTGCGATTTAGCGCGTGATGTGGGGGGGGGATTAAATTTAGCAGTCTGTACGGGTTATTACTGAGCTACCGATGACGTGAATATTTAAACAAATATTTAGGCGTGGCCTTGCTGTCTGATTGGCTGCATCGGGGTCCCTCAATGATCTGTGCACCCCGCCCCCCTGAACGCACGCGCGTAGCTGCTTGGCGCGTCCGCAACCAGCCACAAGCCACTCGCGGAGGAGAGAGACACGGGGAAGCGGGGATGGGCATTTACGCCTGGTACGTTGCTCCATCTCTCTCTCTCTCTCTCCCTTTCGATTTGTTCCTTTCTATTTCTGTCTCTCCCCCACGCGCTCTCTCTCATTCGCCGTTCCCTTCTCTCTTTATTTCTGTCTCTCTCTCTCCCATTCGATTTGTTCTTTTCTATTTCTGTCTCTCTCCCACGCGCTGTCTCTCCTGCCACCGCCGCTCTCTCTCATTCGCCGTTCCCTTCTCTGTTTATTTCTGTCTCGTCTGCCTTTTCTCTCTCTCTCTCTCCCATTCGATTTGTTCCTTTCTATTTCTGTCTCTCTACGCCCGGCTCCTCTTCATGTCGCCCGTTCCTTCTCTCTTATTTCTGTCTCTTCTCTCTCTTCACTCTCTCTGCTCTCTCTCTCTACTCTCTCTCGTCTGCTCTCTCTCTCTCTCTCTCTCTCTCTCTCTCTCTCTCTCTCTAATGGTTTGCGCTTTATAAAACATTGCGTACGCGCTGTATTATATATACTATATATTACATTACATATATATTATATATAGATTCTCTGTATCGTATTCGTTTATGTTGGCGATCAAACTAGGAACTGAAAACATCAAGACCCCATAATCATATTATTCCTAATAGACGTAGGCCTGAAACTTTCATGGCCTGTTGTGAACTATCAGGAGCAAATGAGAGCTGGATTCATGTACTATATTGGTCAGCCTTTGACTAATTTACTCCTTTTGTTCGTGGCCACTTAACATCCATCATATTCCCATCATAACATCCAGATCATATACCAAGCTCTCATATCCCTGGCTTCATGTAAAGAGTCGAAGTTACGCCGTTACTCTCATGTCGTCCATTTCTTAGTAAATACTCTTAAGCGCCTAAAACGTGTCGAGCTACCGATGTTATAAGTTATGTATACCAAAAGGAGTGAAACATTCAACAACATGAATTCACTATATATATTATCTATATTGATATGATACTCTTCTATATGGATTCTTGATATATATATATATATATAATATATTGCATTATCTTTTGTATTAAATATACTTGTCTATGCAGGCATCTATGCCGGCTATTCGTGCTGCTGTAACCATGATACGGTCCTGCCTGCTGCTCTGCCTGCTGCGCGGCGGCGTCTGCGTGTGGACGTACGTCTTCGCCTGTTATCGCGTGTCGTCTGCTCGGCGACGTCGCTCTCTCCGCCCTCCGATCGTCTGCCGGCTCGTGATAGGTTTACGCTGCTCTCACGTCCACTCCATCTGTACGCCGAGCTGTCCGCAAGATGGGAAGCTGGCAGTCGCGTTGACGGTGTAGGTACGCGCTGGGCGACCGATTAGTGTGCGTGCCGGCGTGCGTGCGTGCGGTCGCGTGTGTGTGCGTGTACGTTAGGCACATTCAGGTGTGTTGATAGTCTGCTTTAATACTCGGTTTAATCGAGGGTATATGCACCCACGAAGTAAATATGCAGAGACAACGGTTATTTCGTCATTTTCTGCGGTTTTAGTTCTTTTTATGCCCCATGGTTTTAGAATATTTGCTAACGTCCGCTCTCTACTAGTTCTATCCTATTCTCTTCCGAAGCGCTTCTACTACCAAAGCCTTTGTGACCGGGAGTGATGGCCACTGGCTATCGGTATTTCAGTATAGTAACCGACCATCGGGGGAGCCATTGTACAAACAATTGATGATTTTGATAGTGTTCCAAATATTCGGCACAGATAGCTGTTGTTTGTGTTTATATATATATAATATTTGTTGTGGTATCTGGCAATCAAGCAACAAGATTTGTTCCAGGCGGCCGTCTCAGCTAAGGCTGTGCCGTCGCGATCAACAAGACTAGCCAAGGGACGCATATCCTGCGCCATGTAAGCGTCCGTCATCGTAGGCGTAGCCTCGCAGTTAATAATGACCAGTACAGGTTCAGGAAGGAGATATGGTTGCCCGCATTCAGGGTAACGATGCACCAAACATTGGGCAGTGGTGGCAAGCTTGGGCGAAGACCGTATTTAATGCGACCGCGTCCGATCGGTAACCGACGAGCAAACCTACAATCCACAACGTTAAAACCCAGAAGGACAGTCTGCTCACCCTTGCGCTTGAATGTAACTACTCTAGATGATAATGATAATTCACATCAGACCAGAACTTCGCAACAAGCTATTATCTGCAGAGAATTAGAGAAGCCTGTATTGATATCCTGTGGCGCTCAGTGAAGTCTGCGAGACGTCTCCGGCTCACGGCAATATTGTTGAAAGAAAGTCAGACAATCTACTGGAGTGGAGAAAAAGAGAAGCAGGCATGGGTGTTTTGGGCCAGTCTTCACACAACAGCTCCTTCAATGTATCAATCGATACAATCCAATCGACAGGCATATGGTCATGCGCATGACAGTTGAAGAGTGGCGAACCACCTATACACTTATCAGCGTATATCACGAACTATGCAGAACGAACACATAAAGGACAAAGAACAGTTTTCACGAGCGTCTGGCACTTCATTACAGGCAGCTAAAGATGACACATAAGTTCTAGGTGAATATTAATGCTCGTGTTGCACATAGACTCGGAAATCGTTGCCAATCTGTAATCGGTAAACACGGCGTGTGGCTAATGATCGAATTTCAATATGGACTAATCTATTAGAGTCTGTACCAGATTTCAGCTTACAAATCATGGGTACCAATCGTTTCATACCTTAAAGACACTAGCTGAAGAACACCATGGCAGCCATTGCGGTCAATACGGGACATCAGTATGCATGTACTAGGCAATCAACCTGCAAAGTAACACGTCATAGTGTCACTCAAACGGCAGACGTTTCACTTGATCACAAAGTTGATGTTTGTAAGTGTCATTTCTCCATAAAGCCAAAGAAGAAGGGCAAAAGCCTCCAAAAGAGCTTGACACTGGCCTCAACAATGAAATGAAAAGAAATGCATGGAACAGTCTTGAATGAAAATTTTATGATTGCAAAGAACATTGTGCAAGAATGAGAAGACGTGGTTTAAAATGCAGCAAAACGTTATTTGGAAAGAAGAGACAGAAACAGAATGCTGGTTTGACCGAACAGGATTAGAAATCAGAGAGCTGCCTTCAAAACAAAGAACTGAACACGAATGCTCTTAGAGTGCGTATTCAGAAAGCTAAACTATGAGCTGGACTCTTCATAAACGTAAAAGAAAAAGAGAACTTGATGGTTAGAAAAGTGAGAGCAGAGATTTTTCAACAGAAAGAAAATAACCATCAAAGAATTTATGGCACTTCAATGCTGTCTACGGTCAGGCAAACACTGAAAAGCTCCCATCCTGTGTAAGATTCAAAAAATGATGGGAGCTCTTGACTTCACCAATCGCATCAAACAGATGGGTTAGAAGCTTTTCAGTGATCTTCTGATCAACCAATGGATGCTTGATTTAAGCATCTTGGGATGACTAGAGGAACATCCCAATTATTGCGTCCTTCGATGAATCCAATCTCAGAACCAAGAGCAGATAAATCTTCTCAAACACACATAGGAACAAGTCGCGGGCCCTATGCAGAATACTCTTGAGACCTGATTGATCTTTGAAGACTGAAGTCAAAGACACAGTTCAAGTACGAGTAATCTCAGGGAGGCTCAATTATGCAGACGAATATAGCCATATTCAGCTGCACTTCGGGACTACAGATGTTACTCCAGCTCACAACGGACCGTTCTAAGAAGCATGCGGTATTAACACTGCAGAAGCAGGACCACTGTCCATTGTACTGAAGCTGAGTTGCTTCATAGCTGACCACGAAGTAGGCGAACGTCACCGCTTCAAATACCTTGCAGCTACGTTAAGCAATAGCTGCTCGTATATAGAGGAACCTTGCAGCTCGTATCCAAGCAACATCATGCGTGCCTTTGGGTCGCTACGTCAAAGCGTGTTAACTCACGTGACCTCACAATAAAACACTAAGCTCAAAGTCTACAAAACCCATGTGTCTTATTCCACTTCTGATGTACGGCTATGAAACCTGGAACTCTTGCTTACGAGTCATCTTATTTCGACAACTGAGAACATACTAGACAGACCGCACCTAGCGCGTAATCATGCATATTAAATATCATTTAAATGAGGATCATTACGATTGGTCACGGAGGAGGTCCTGCTAACAGGAGCGGGTTTGAACGACATCGAGTTGAAAGCTAGTCTCAGAAGTCGTCTGCGTTGTTTTGGCCACCGCTTTGTTAGAATGGGATAAGTCGACAGACAGCAAAGGGACTCCATAACCAGGCAGCTAGCCAAATGGATCCTATCTGCTGGTTGCCCCTAAATTAAGAATAGAATACCTGCAAAGGTGCTCTGAGTGTGGTAATGTTCTTGATCAGTGGAGGAATGTTGTAGACAACAGACAGAGTGGAGAGGTCTTGTGCATACAACTTGTGAATGCTTCAACATAAAGAGAATCAAACAGTATGAAAGAAAATAGTGAACGAAGACAAAGAATTTTGAACAAAGATGATCTATGCAACTTTAGAGCATAGATATTTTACTACATATATTCTGTGTGAATCCCCGTTTTGGTGCTATCACTAGCGTATATATATACTATATAGATTATATATACATAATAATATCCTACAACGCTGGTCCGTCTCTCCTCCGCCGCGCGTCCCTCACCCTCGCCCTCCCCACCTCCTCTACTCCCCACCTTTCTATCTTACCCTTTTCTAAACCTGCCTCCCTCCCCACCCTCCCTCAAACCCCGCCCTCCCCGCCTCTATATCTCTGCCGGGGTTCTCTGCAGGGGCGACGGACGGTATAGGCAAGCAGTACGCTCTACAGTTGGCCGAGCAAGGCCTTAACATCGTGCTCATCGGTCGCTCGCCGGAGAAGCTGAAGGCGACCGAGAGCGAGGTGCGCATGCGCAGCAACGTGCAGGTGAAGACGGTCGTCGTCGACTACAGCGGCGGACGGGAGATCTACGATGACGTCGAGCGAGAGTTGGCGGGACTAGAGATCGGCGTGCTGGTGAACAACGTCGGCATGGGCTACGCGAGGATGTCCGAATTCCTGGACATGGAGAGAGACTTGCATCTGCGCATGCTCAACGTGAACATGATGTCCTGCGTTGCTATGACGTACATCGTTCTGCCGCAGGTGAGAGAGGGTGGAGGGTGGGGGAGGGGAGGGGAAGGGGAAGGGGAGGAGAGGGGGAGGGGAGGAGAATGGAAGACAGAGTTAGAGATTTGAGGTGGTGAAAGGAGAATGGAAGAGAAGGTAGAGGAGAGGAGGGCTGGGATAACGGGGGGAGGGGAGAGAGGGGAAGATTTATCTACGCTAGCTGCTGGCTTTCCATTTCGCTACTGGCGTTGATAGAGCGTCAGCATTTACATCACATGCATATATCTGTTGGCATATATTATCACGCACTACAATAACGTTATATAGCTCCGACAGGTGGCGACAGGATGTTGTAAATGTTTGCGACGAAGCTTCTAGCGTCTACGCCTCTACGGCAACCACATTTTCATGATTGCTGATGCTCTTCGAAGTCGAGATGTCAATGCCAGAATGTGAATGAATGAATGTCATAAACCATGTTTTTCATGATGAGGACAGCAATGGAAATGACTTAGTTACCTAGATCTTAATGCCACTTGTATCTAGTTAGTTAAGTTTATTGTTTAAAGAATTAGATCATATGATCACATTGTTCTTTGGGTTTTTAAGTGCAATTAAGTTTATATGTCATACCTCTTCATAACATTCAACATTTGTTGATCTTGTGTACGTTTAAATTGTGATGCTGCATACCAGTTAGTTTATTTATTTACTTATTATTTGTTGATGCTCTTGAGTTATTGTTTGTTGAAATTAAGTTTTGTTATGCTAATCTATTTGACTGAGCATACCTGTTCTCCTTTGCGTAATCATCATGTATCTTTCATTATGTATCTTTAATTATGTTAAACTCATGTATCTATATAATAGCCATCATATATGTAATAATATCACATTTAAGGAGTGGCTGACTCGAAGACTTCACAGTCAACTCGCCCTCCTACGCAATTCTGAAACGAATATAACCAGTTATATTATGTATGTATATTGTAATACGTAAATAAACATTTTTAAATTGAATTGAATTGAATTGAATTGCCACGTGCAGACAGGAGAGTGAAGATTAGTATGATGAGTCAGGTATATAATATAGGTCTACTAATCGTAAAACGTAATTAATACTAATACTATTAAATTAACAAATAATCATTATTCAATTAACAAAATAAATACTATTAGTAATAGTATTTATTTTGTATTTATTTGGCTAGAAACTGTCGTCACAATACTGTGTAGTGTAGATTCAAGGATTCCCGTAGTCACAGTCAATGAGCTATATTATACATAATACCAAATAAGAGTATTATTAGCTCTTGATAATATACACTATACAGTGTAGTGTAGTCGCATGCATACCACTCTGCCGTGACTGTACACAAACTCACATAAAGATAGAGTGACAAAAAGATATGGAGTGAACTCTGCGAATTTGTGGACAGTAATGTCTGCGGTGTGCATGTGGTGAAATTGTGTGTTTCAGATGAGCATCTGAACTACATTTACTGTCGCTCATAGGGTCTATGTCCCCCAGGGTACTGCCGGAACGTACCCTGGGTACGGTCCGGTATACCGGAACGCACCCTGTTAACTATCTGATATGGTTAGGGTTAGGGTTAGGGAGTAGGCGTAGGCGACTCCCTAGACTCGTTAGTGGAGTAGGCGAGGTACGGTCCGGCATATTAGATAGTACAGCAGAAGTATACAATTCACGTTTTGAATTTATATGGAGCTCTGGTACCAAGGGTACGTTCCGGTATATCCGACGCGTACCCAGGGTACGCGTCTCGCGGCACGTACCCTGAGGGACATAGACGCCTCTCAGCGTTACTGTCACATGTAATAGCGAAAAGAAATAGATTCCGCGTTGGCTAAATCATTAGCATGTTGATGGTGGCCAATAAAAGAATAGAAGTAGAAAGTAGATATATTAACATTAAGATTTTGGTAGTAAATACATTTCGTGTTTATTCATGAAGAGGCATGCTAGATGCATAACGACAGCCAGTTGATAATCATGTAATCTATATCTATATAATATATCTATAATATATCTATAATATATAAACTGTATGATATGTATGCAAGACCTGTCCAGTCAAACCTGGTCTTCATGTTATTGTTACAGAGGGTGATTGTTGTAGGCCAGCAGTTCATGGATATAAGCTGGTCTTCATGTTATTGTTACAGAGGTGTGTTTTGTAGCCAGCAGTTCATGGATATAAGCTGGTCTTCATGTTATTGTTACAGAGGGTGATTGTTGAAGGCCAGCAGTTCATGGATTAATATGCTGGTCTTCATGTTATTGTTTACAGGAGGTATTGTTGTAGGCCAGCAGTTCATGAATATAAGCTGGTCTCATGTTATTGTTTACAGAGGGTGATTGTTGTAAGGTCCAGCAGTTCATGGATAAAGCTGGTCTTCATGTTATTGTTACAGAGGGTGATTGTTGTAGGCCAGCAGTTCATGGCTATAAGCTGGTCTTCATGTTATTGTTACAGAGGGTGATTGTTGTAGGCCAGCAGTCATGGATATAAGCTGGTCTTCATGTTATTGTTACAGAGGGTGATTGTTGTAGGCCAGCAGTTCATGGATATAAGCTGGTCTTCATGTTATTGTTACAGAGGGTGATTGTTGTAGGCCAGCAGTTCATGGCTATAAGCTGGTCTTCATGTTATTGTTACAGAGGTGATTGTTGTAGGCCAGCAGTTCATGGATATAAAGCTGGTCTTCGTGTTATTGTACAGAGGGTGATTGTTGTAGGCCAGCAGTTCATGGATATAAGCTGGTCTTTATGTTATTGCTACAGAGGGGTGATGTTGTTAGCCAGCAGTTCATGGATATAAACTGATCTTCATGTTATTGTCACAGAGGTGATTTTGTAGGCCAGCAGTTTATGGTGTAGCGTTTTTATGTCTTTCCTGCGCCACCCGAGGGCGCCACCCGTCGACACGTAGTGACTAGCAATAACCTTAGGTAAGAACACTCACCTATGGTATGTCCGGATGCGTTGACATGGCCGTGATCGTCGCCACCCGGACTCAGCTAGCCACCAGAGCGCCTCACTATGCTACTGCGCTCACTCCGTAGTACCCAACCCGGCGTTCGTTCCGGCTCCGGTGCGATAGCGTGGTTAGTCGACAATGCCACACCACAAACGTGACAACGGGGCACCCCACCCCGCTCGGCTGGCCTTACGTTAACGGTTACGTCTTATAATAAATGTCAACCCGGTGTATAAACAAAGGCTATACAGATATAGGCGTAGCCAGACAAGGGCTAAATAACGGCAGGCTCTCTACTGCACGGCTGCTCACAGCATTATGAGCATAGGCCAGTTTCTATCCTGCACGTGAAGCGTCGGCACTCCCCTCTCTCTCTCTACTTCAGAGTCCATTTAATACTCTACTCACTGTATTATTTACTCGCCCCACAACGACATTCAACAGGACAATACAAACTGCCTACTCAACCAATGCGTAGCTCTTAACTGTGGCCCATGTTCTCTATCCTTGAACCCTCTGTGGGTCTCACCCACAAGCCACGTCGAACACTGGTGAACCGTATGTTACTGTACCAGTAACGTACGCTAGCTGTCGTCACCATACTCCCAGTCTCTGCACACAACTCAGCCGGCCTCTCCACTCTATATGCTCATACAGAGTGGACTAGCTATGCGGGGCCTACCTCACTCGACTCCCGCCATGAACTCGAGTATTATCTCACTAGACGCCCGAGACAAACTCGAGTGCTACCTCTCTAAACGCCCACAAAACTCTATTGTGACTTCAGCCAACTCCCGGGACAAAACACAACCGTGTCACTCCCGTTTCACACACCGAGTCTACTGTTTATTTCTCCCGCGCAAGAGGAAATACATTCCGCCACTAGAGGGGGTGGCTAACCCATCCAACATGGCTGCCTCCATGTAAGTACTCGACTATCCACAACAACAATTGGTGAGCAGGCAAAACACTACTAAAACGCACACTAAAATGACACCGGGACCTCACAAATAATTATACAATCACAAATACGAAGCATTAACCATACCCTGCCGTGGTTGCCAGTGAGCTACCTCACATCTACTTAGCTGGGAACCGTGGTGACCGGTGCCACCCGCCCACACTCTGGATATAAGTCTGTCTTCATGTTATTGTTACAGAGGGTGATTGTTGTAGGTCAGCAGTTCATGGCTATAAGCTGTCTTCATGTTATTGTTACAGAGGGTGATGTTGTAAGGCCAGCCATTTCATGGATAGAAGCTGGTCTTCATGTTATTGTTACAGAGGGTGATTGTTTGTAGGCCAGCATGTTATGGATATAAGCTGCGTCTTCATGTTATTGTTACAGAGGGTGATTGTTTGTATGGTCAGCAGTTATGGCTAATAAGCTGGTCTTCATGTTATTGTTACAGAGGGTGATTGTTGTAGGCCAGCAGTTTATGGATATAAGCTGGTCTTCATGTTATTGTTCAGAGGTGATGTTGTAGGCCACAGTTCATGATATAAGCTGTCTTCATGTTATTGTTACAGAGTGATTGTTTGTAGGCCAGCGTTCATGGATAGAAGCTGGTCTCATGTTTATTGCTACAGAGGTGTATTGTTGTAGGCCCAGCAGTTCATGATATAAGCTGGTCTTCATGTTATTGTTACAAAGGGTGATTGTTGTAGGCCAGCAGTTCATGGCTATAGCTGGTCTTCATGTTATTGTTACAGAGGTATGATTGTTGTAGGCCACAGTTCATGGATAGAAGCTGGTCTTCATGTTATTGTTACAGAGGGTGATTGTTGTAGGCCAGCAGTTTCATGGATATAAGCTGTCTTCATGTATTGTTGCAGAGGGTGATTGTTGTAGGCCGGTTCATGGATATAACGCTGGTCTTCATGTTATTGTTACAGAGGGTGATTGTTGTAGGCCAGCAGTTCATGGATATAGCTGGTCTTCATGTTATTGTTACAGAGGGTGATTGTTGTAGGCCAGCAGTTCATGGCTATAAGCGCTGACCACAATTCATTTTCGCATGTGCGACATGTGCA